GAATTTCCATACGTTTCACCGCGCAGAAAGCAGGAAATTAAGTTTGAGTGACGCTAAATTGCCCAAATGTTTTGTATGAATATGAATAGATAAATGTCTGAAAAGGCCGTTTCCGACGATCTAGAGGCCCTAATTTTAAATTTTTTTCTCGCTTGGCGCCAACCATGGTGGCGCCTCGTGAGGTTGCTACTCAGCCAATAGCATGACCAATCATTTTTTCCTAGCTACGCTACTGTCCCCAAGCCTGCGATCCTTGGGAAGGAACGTGAGGCTCTGGGATAATCCGTTGCCGGAAGCCAGGAATCCTGGCTAAGATTGAACTGCGCATTCCATATCAACGGCCAATCAGATTCCTCCCTGAAACGGATTATCCTGCAGAGCCTCACGTTCCTAACCGAGGATCCGGCAGGCTCGGGGAACGAGATTGACAAAAATGTTGAAAACGTAAATTAAGTTGATGAATATATTGTGTAGTTTCTGTTTCGGTGTATTTGTTTAGTTTCTGCAGTCACAATTCTTGCTATTCTATTCCATTTCCAGTTTATATTTGCTATATATAATTCAAAATGAATTTCACAGGTCAAAACAGTCTACAGTATGCCCATGCAATATATGTGTGCCATTTTCAACCCTGAATACTGACTTGAGAGCGAGGGTATATTTTGACTTGAGAGGGTATAAACTATAATTAAACTTGTATGAATGATATGTATGTTTTCTCAAATATTGCGTGTTGTTTCAGGGCCGTAGGAAGCTCTTTTCGATTGGGGGGGCTGAAAGCGAGGGCCGAAGGCCCGAGGAAATTTTTAAATTTAGAGTCTCTAAAATGCCATTTCCTGGACTTTGGGAGAAGATTTAACAGAATTCTGATAGTCAGAAAACAGCGTTTTAGTATGTCGAAATTTACAGGAAAGTATGGGCCAGACTGTAGTATTACAAATGCGCGGCGGGAATTTTCGTCGTAAATGGCAGTTGCGCGGAAATGAAGGCAGAACATTTGAGAAAATTTCGAAAATCTGGAGTCTCTAGATGGTCTGAAATGGCATTTTCAGAGTTTTCTTTCGCAAGACCCAACACGCAAAAGACAAAATAAATCATTAGTTCATCAAAATGTGCAGATTTTGTGGGATTTTCTTGAAAATGCGCGACAGAAATTCAGCTAAAATTTCTACGCGAGGAACGATCTGGAGTATGAGTAATATCTTCATTCTTTGCAGTTTATCACAGATTAAATGATAAAGTTTGCATGATTTTGAAAAAAGAATGATTATTAGCAAATTATTGGGGGG